CTCATACGTCATCCGCCCGGAGCTGCTTCCGTGTAGGACTGTTGGCGCAAGCTACATTAAAGTGATTATTACGTTTTGAATCTGGATATTTTTCTTACAAAAACGCATTGATTCGCTACAGGAGGCCTTTGTTCATCCCCCGGAGCCGTGTGAGACACTTTTTTTATGGATGGGCGCTTTTTATTTGACTTCTTTTGGACTGATGCATGCAACACCCGCTGAGTGCCATGAAACAGCTTGAAAGATCAAAGACAATTTTTAATATAACTCCGACTGGATTCGTCTGAAAGAAGAAAGTAATATACACCTAGGATGACTTGAGGGTGAGTAATTTATGGGCTAATTTTCATTTTTGGGTGAACTAACCCTTTAAATAATACAGATTTGTATTGAAATAAAAAAAATCATTTAAAAACAAAAAACACTTAAAAGATTTTTTGTTTACATGCACACTGTAAAAAGGATTTCATCAATAAGTCATGATAACACAAGTCTTTCCATTACTTTAACTCATCAAAATATTTTAACTAATTTCAACTTCATTTTTTAAAGTTATACGAGATTCATCACTATTTCCGCACAAGTCAGTTTATAATTTAAGTTCCAAGTTTATTTTCAGGAATATATGGCCTCTTGGCCCATAGTTCCACAAGATCACAATGACATGGAAGAAACTCTTTTATTCATTCCATGGTATATATACAATGACAATCTCCATGCATACTCCGAATCACAAACACTTGACACATCAATACAGACATCACCAACAAGAACAAGATCACCTAAACTTTTCTTACGCAAATCCACATGCAAAGACGAATCATACAAGAAATGCTTCTCATCTTCTATCATAGAAATACTTAATGTTAGTTTACAATAATTACAGATTCTCTCTGCCACTGGTATATTACTCCATCTGCCTGTTTCGATAGCTAAATGAAGACTTGAACATCTAAAAATGAACAATGATTGTACCAGTTGCATGTTATAGATGCAATGTAGCTCTGTTGTACTAAGAAAGATTTGTATTGTGAATATAAGTATATTTAACTTTTTAGTTTCTATAGCTGATTTATACCATGCCTCGTGCTTTTTCTTTCAATCGTTGGTTAAGAATAGCTATGAATGTTCTTATATGACCTACACTTTGAGCCTCCCAAGCACTAGAAAAAACATAAAAATAAAGCAAAATACAAGTAACCCATGTTTTTCTACCCATTTCATCTAACTGAAAAAGCATATTATATAATTTTTTTTGGATAATGATGACACTTATTTTATCCAATACATGATACAATCTTTTCAAGTGGACAATACAAATCTACCCAAATCACCCAAAACGGCAACATTGCTCACACTTGTACTGATACACAGGTGTTTTTACAAAAAGATACCTGAACATTTTCAATACACTCCACTGGCTCAAAGCCTCATATCTCAGATCCGTAATACAATATAAGAGCAACAATGCGATCAAACAAATACAGAGATTGATTGCAGCTAATTTTATGTTTACGAACAATCCTTAGCAAGGAAAGCATTGCTTTCTTGCTCAAAGTTGTCGGGTTTTCCACCATGACAATTTTGGTGTAAACCAAATATAAACCCAGATATTTGTAACATTTTACACTTCAATCTGCTCACCAAAATACAAATTTTCATTCTTGTTTATAGAACCCCCTCATACATAACTTTTGTTTTTACTCAAATTCCCTCTCATACTGTAAAGATTACAGAAATTTTCCAGCTGTTCAATCTGTTTCGGTAACCCTCCAATTTTATCTGCTGTGTTAGCCATATCATCAGGTCTGAACTTCTGTAATACTTTCGATCTGAATACCTTTACCTGTACAGTTTTTCTTCAACATTGTTATATATATTATTTTCTCTTTGTAATATATTTCTGAACCTCTGACTGTAAGATAAAAATATTATCTATTGTGGAATAACCTGACCTATTATCCTGACCCTGCTTGTTCTTCATAAAATATATTCATATTATTTACTTCTACATAAGATACTAACCCCCTGTTCAAAATCTTTGTAAAGATTTTACCAAGTACATTAAGCAATGAGATCCCTCTATAAGGCCCCACATCGTTTTTTTTATCACCATTCTTGTACATTATTGTACAAATCACAGCCTCACACCAAACCTCTGGGAAGTCCCCTTTATCTAAGTTTTTGTCATATAAAGAGAGCATTATGGGATATAACATATGTGATGCTGCTTTCAGCATCTCAATAATACCATCTGGTCCAAGGGCTTTTCCATTACTCATTGGCATAATAGTTTTAAAAACTTAATTATAAGTAATATTGCTATCCAAAATTTCATCTTGATTGAAAAATGCAGCTTTATGATTATTCACACTATCTGCAACAAAGTTCTCAATATCAGCATCTATATTACATTTTGAATCAGACAATAACTTTATAAAATATTCTAGCCACTTATCATGCATGATATTATTAGACTCACTATATGTTAGACCTTCCATAACTTCCCAAATTTTCTTCCACAGATGCTGTGTTTTTGTTATCCTGTAGCATATTACCTAAAACATTTGAATTGTACTGTTTTTTTTTCTTTCTATTTCATAGCTTTTTACATTTTCGCCTCTCAAGAATGTAACTGTTCAAATTTCTCACATTACCTGTTCTTGTGAATTGATTAAAAGTATTATATTTAGCAAATTTGAAATGAACAGTCTTCATCCCACCACTGTGGTTGTTTACTTATAAATATAGACTTTTTGATCAGAAATCTGCCTGCTTCATGTAAACAGTCTGTCAAAATTTTAGCTGCTACATTAGTATCTTCTTCCACTGCAGTAAAAAAAGCCACCTAAAAAGTTTCCATTCAATAAATAACAATTTTTGCGAAAGCTGCCTCTTACCATTAGTTCCCCATTTAAGTCTTATCCAGGGTCTTACATAACTATCTTTCTTCATTTTAATCCTTGATTCAACACTATTTATACTCACGGTGTATAATAACAGGAAGTGATCAGAGATATCCACATATAAAATCTCAAAATCTTTAACATGTGAAGAGTTCACTGGATATAATGAAATAATCAGCTGCTGACATAAATGTAAACTTTCCATCGATATCTTTGCCAACTCTTCCATTTACAAAATGAATATTTAATTAGCCAAATATGTCAAAAAGGCAGTGACCAAATGTGTTAACAACCTTATCTTTTGATTTTCTATACCATTCAAAATAATCATTAGTATAACTACCACATGCTATATATTCAGAATCATCACACTCAATGTAATCACATTCACTACCAGTTCTAGCATTAAAGTCTCCTATGATGATGAACTTTACACCTTCTCCAACTTGATCTAGCACACTTAGAATTTCATTTTCCAAAGAACTAATGAACTAGATCCCTCAGGGAAAATATAAGTAAAGGTAAAAACAATGTCATCATCAAATAATCCACTCTCTTTGTCAGAACAGTTGCTTGTTCACAAATCTGAGAAAAATATTTCACAATAGAATCATGTACATATACACAGATACCTCCAATTTTACGACCAAATTCTGACACATGCTTATGCACAAGACAAAAACATGTATAATCAGTCAATAATTGACAGAACTCATCTCAGAGTCTCATCTTGTGACCAAACTTCACTCAAACAAATGATAGAGTTTCCCTGCAAAATGTCCAAGAACTCACTGTTGTTGACTTTTGTCTTTAACCTTTGAACATTCCATGCAATTATAGTGAGTTCATTTGGGCCAAGGCCATCATGTTATCTTACACGAGTGTCAGATGTTCCTTCATTAATCAGTCCAATTTCAACCACAGACTCAAACTCGGTGTCATAAGTGAAAACTCTACAGTCCACAAATAATTTATCAAAATGAAGGGGCCTTCCGTATTTGGTTTATTTATGATGTAGAGTTTGCATGCAGTTAACCAGCTTTCTCCATATCTCACACACCCCAGCACTAAAGTCCTCTGACACCCGAATTTGGCTATTTATTCCATCATCTTCATCGTTACTTCGTTCACGTCATTCCCGTGTTTTCTGTGGTCCGTTTCACCTGGTGAAACAGACCACCACTGGCCTTGCTCTTCTAGATGATCTCTTCCCAACACTGTGAGCGCGTTCAATTTGTAGTTCTACATCGCTTTTGGCTCTGCCCAGATCAAAATATTCAGTAACATGGTCCCGCACCTTTTTCTTACTCTCTTCCCATGTTTCCCGATCCGACTCCGGGATGCCATAAAAGACAAGGTTATGTTCTGATTTTCCATGCGCTCATGCAAGTTCAGTGTTTTCATGCTCAAGTCTCTCAACTGTCTTCACACACTTTTCAACGAGTTCTCTTAAATCCAATCAATTTGGGCAAGTGTGTGGGATTCTTTTGGTTATGAACCAGCTGTTGCTCCAAATAGTATCTGCTGTGTTATTCTCCCCGCCTAAACATTCTTTTCCACATCGCCCGCAAAGATTAAGAGAAGGCCAACAGCTGCCGCTAGCCGCAGTCCGCCTGCAATAACACCACTATGAAGGTTAATTGTGGTTGGTTTAAAGTTTAAACATTGCTTTTAAACGCTTGGCTGGGAATATAGGCCCGTTCTCTGCTTTCATTGTTCAATGGTGATCCACATGATACCGGAAGTCAACTATAATTTAAGAGATAAATGATAAATTATTATATGTACAAGTCATTTCAACTTCAATTATATAACTTAGTTGAAATGACTTGCACAACCAATTTGATTATACTTAAAAATTTAAGGCAGCAACTGAACTTAAGTTTTAAGTTGAAGTAAATTGAATTTTTTTTTTACAGTGCATGTTATTTGACCATTAATCGACATCAGAGAACAGTGAACATGCAAATGTGTTGTTAAATTATTGAAATATTAACTTAAATTCTCAGAGTTAAATGGGTTTTATTAAGAAAAAGGGTTTGCCGATCCCTGACCCATAATATTCTGTCTTTCTAGGATGGTCTAAATGGCGAGAGACATCTTTTTTTTTTTTTTTTCTTGGGCAGTGATGTTTTGTCTGTATTTCACCCGATTCTCTCTTTACACCCCCACAGTGGATGACCAATGGATGAACTACATCTCTATTTGTGGACTGAGGACTCATGCGGAGCTGGAGGGCAGACTTGTGACTGAACTCATCTATGTTCATAGCAAGTTGCTCATTGCTGATGACAACACTGTCATTATTGGTGAGCTAACAATGTTACAATTTGCCAAAACAAATAATTAAGGTGTTATTGAGACATTTTCATGCCTGCTTTCCTCTGTAATTGTTGAGCAACTCGCTGAGCAAGTGCATAATTTCTTTATGGCTGGAGTTTTATACAACCCCTTGTGGAAGACTGTGGTACATTGGATTTTGAAGGACAGACAGTGAAGGCCACACATAATCATTGACCTGGCATATAAATAGCTAGTTTTCACATTTACCAACTCATTTTCCTCAAATAGTCCAAAAGATGTGATTTTTAATGAGATAAAATATTTGTCTGTGTAGTTTACACATGACTGCACTGCCAGATGTGCAGTAGTGACATTTGTTCTGCAGTTCTAAGCTAAGCTTTGTCGTCATGCCTCTGTTTTCTTACCATGACTGAAAAGACGTATCACATCTGTAAAAAAAACAAAAAGTTTAAATAATACTTTGCACGAGGAGTGGAAGAAACTCATAAAAGATAAGCGAGTGTCATTTCAGATAAAGCTTTAGATTTCTGCAGAAGATACAAGAAATCAAATGAAGAAAGCCATAGATCAGAAGGAGGCAGACGGGAACATTTAGCCGCATACTGAAATTGAGTTATCTCTGACTCTGTAGGTGGAAGATTTGTGTGCTATTGAATTAAATGCCTCAAGATCCAATCACTTATAAAACAATGAATAAAATTGAATGATAGAGTATTAAAAAAAATCTTGTTTTGTTGTCTGTGATTATTATTTGTCTTGATATTTTAGATTAAACAAGTCATGATCAGTGTGTGTTTCCTTATGGCAAACCCACAGGCATGCATCACTGTTTTTTTATAGTTATTGCTATTTATGAAACAGCTCAGACTTGTTTTGCTTTTAATGCTACTAGGCAGTTTTAATACTTTTTATTTTATTTTACCAGGATTTTTTATTTATTTATAAAATGTTAAATTAAAATTGTATAGTTTTAATTGAATACATAAAAAAAAAAAAATAAAAAAAAAAAAATATAAATATATATATAAAAAAAAAAAAAAAATAAAATATATATATATATAATTTTAAAATTCATTAGTGTTTAGTATCATCATAAACAAAATTCTTTAGTGTTTAGTATCATCATAAACAAAATCCAATTATTGTTTAATTTAATTATTCTTTTTCTTGACTCTTTTTAATTTATTGGTTTATTTTTCAGGCTCTGCCAACATCAACGACCGCAGCATGTTGGGGAAGAGGGACAGCGAGGTAGCTGTGATTTTTGAAGATTCAGAAACGACGCCATCAGTGATGGATGGTCAAGAGTACCAGGCTGGCAAGTTTGCTCTGCAGCTCAGACTGGAGTGCTTCAAGTAAGATCTGGTGGAAAGCCAACCATCCTAGTGTTAGCAAAACAACTGAATCACAGCTGAAACTCTTTGTTTTTTCATAAACTAGAACCATTCTTGGTGCCTTTAATGATCCGACCATTGATGTTAGTGACCCCATCAGCAACGGATTCTACAAAGACGTCTGGATGAGCATTTCGGGTAGGAACGCCACCATCTATGACAAGGTTAGTGTGATTCCTTGTGTCTTCCCCCACTCGCTCCTGGGAATATAGTGGAATTTATGATGGGTACTTTCCATCATCCTATTACGTGGATCATTTGAATTATGATTTAGAGGTGTTGCTCGGTCGTTTGTCAGATAGGTATTGCTCTCAATCACCACTGAAGCTCTCAGACTCGGTTGGCTGTTTGGCAGCCTCATGGCAGGCCAGTAATAATGAGGCTTAATGGAATGAGAGATGTGTAATCTGAGCCACCATTGTAGGCTGGCAATTTCAGTAAATACCTCGCACACATCAGCCACACAACCAAATGTTTCACACATATGCAGACACAATTAGGAAGCATTAGTTCCCACCTTAAAGGTGCAAGGCTTCCATTCTATACCATAAGATAAGATAAAATAAAATATTTATTTTTTTAATTTATTATTTTGAAAATTATTTTATTAAATGTTTAAAAAATAAAAATGCTATTTTTATTTTAGGTAAGGTTTGAGTAAAAACAACTCACTTTATCACGAAAACCATCCATTATCAGACATTATATTTGCAGAAAAAATTAATCATGGTGACAAATACACCTGCATATTTCTACAGTGTCATCACCATATGTAACCTAGCTTTTGCATAATAATAGACCACTGCAAAATTGGTTTATGGTTATGAAGATGAATAAAAGCCAAAACAACAACAAATACTCTGCACTTTTAAAGCTGTTATTTATATGTGAAAATATTTATCTCTAGATACAACCATCAGTTTTTTTTATTTTGTGTGCACTTGAATATTATTTTAGTATTATTTATAAATTATAATAATTTTTATAATATTTTGAATTAGCTTTTATGCCTAATGTTTATATTTTTAGTTTATCTATATGTAAGTTTTAGTAATTTTGTTGTGTACTTTTGTCATTTCAGTTTTTTTTCCTGTTTAGCTTTAATTAAAATTATTTCAATTTTAATTTTAGTACTTCAACTTTAGGTCCTGTAGTTGCCAAAAATTGTCATGAGCATAAAAAATTAATTTCTCATCTGTTCCGAATTTCCAAATACAATGTGAGTGGCAGAAAACTGAGGACTGTTGATGCGGTTGCATTGCAGGTTTTCCGCTGTCTGCCCTCAAGTCTGGTGAGGAACAAACAGGAGCTCATGAGCTTCCAGTCCAAACCAGGTCTTGATAAAGAGAACCCTGTTAAAGCTCAGGAGCTTCTGGAGAAGATTAGGGGCTTCCTGGTCCAGTTCCCATTGGAGTTCCTCAGTGAGGAGAACCTCATGCCCTCGGTAGGCACCAAAGAAGCCATGGTGCCCACTGAGATCTGGACCTGATGGCACCAAATGAGAAACACAGAAAAGACAATCCACTTCCAACATGAGGAGAAAAACAAAGACACCACTGTGGTGGACGAAACTTCAGATGTGAAACATCACACCAGCCGATACGAAGGAGCAAAGGATATTAAGACAAACTGTCTGCCCCTCATCAGACAACCTCCTATTGTTTTGTACCTTTTATCAATGTTATAAATGTACATAATGATATTTTATAAGTGATTATCAGCACATATTGTGCTTTTACTGTAATGTATTTAATGAAAGTCGCCTCTCTGAGATGCCAAACAGAAGGGCTTTTTAAAGAAATGTTATAATTCTAATGTACATATAAAGAGGATTCGATTTTTATTGCTATAGCTGGTTCATTTGTAGAGGCAGCACTCAAAGTGAAGGGCAAAATGGAGAGTGGAAGGCCTGTCAGATATAATTTTGTCAATGAGGCCCATTCTTCAGCACGGCGTCCCCAGTGGATGCGCATCCGTGACAGGCTGAGTACAGTGATATGTGTTTTCTGTCTGGTGAACCTGCTCTTAGACCGAGTCTGCAGAGGCTTTTACTGTCCAGCCTCGCTGCCTGTGTCTAAGTGTCAGTGCTCTGGGGACACCAGACAATCTGTCTGTAAATTAAAGAGCTGAGTAACTGAAGGAAATTGTTGCCTCTCAACACCAAACACCGACGTTTGGCATCCAACCTTACATTTTCCTCTTCACAAATGTGGCACAGGTCGGTTTTCACATTGTCCCTTGGTGTTTGAATATCAGCAGGTCAGCCATTTTCAGCAGTTTCCCACTCAGCTTAGTTTTGGTGATATTTTTAAGTTTTTAGTTCTTGTGATTTTGTTCTTTTTTCCCCTGAAATAAAAAGTAATGTATGAGAATACACTACTATTTAAAGTTTGGGGTCAGTAAGATTTTTTTTTAAATGTATTTTATTGTTTGATTTGTTTTGTTTTTAAGAAGTCTCTAAAGCTCACCAAGGCTTTATTCATTTAATTATAATTTCATTAAAAACAGTAATATTGTGAAATTAATTCTTGTGATGGCAAAGCTGAATTTTCAAGCAGCTATTACTCCAGGCTCCAGTGTCACATGATCCTTCAGAAATCATTCTAATATGCTGATTTAGCGCAGAAACAAGAAATATTTGAAAACAGTTGTGCTATTTATTATTTTTGTGGAAGCATGATACATTTTTATTCAGGATAGAAGAATAAAAATCTTTTGTAAAATTGTAAATGTCTTATAAATGTTACTTTATAAATGTCACTTTTGATCAATTTAATGCATCCCTGCAGAATAAAAGTATACATTTTTCAAAACATGTATTACTGACCCCAAACATTACAATGTTACTGTTTGAATATTTGCAACTGATTTTTGTGCCATAATGCAATTCACTTATTACAGGGTATTCAATGAGAATTTTATCCATCTGTAATTGATTAGTTGGTGAAAATGTGCATTATAAACCAAAATGGAGCCAAATCGAATGTGGGCACACTAAAATAATGCCTAAAAATGTCCACCTTTTCTAGCACATTTCATAACCAGCATGTTGTCTGTAGTTACATTAACTGTGAATTTGACAGACAAGATGTATTTTAGCCCTGACTCCATTTCGATCTGTGTTAATGCATTTGTTCAGAAATTTGCACTAAATAAGTTTCAAATAAATCGCAAAAACTCTTAAAAAGTTTTGTGAATGGTTTCCTTGGGGTGTTTTACTGCAATAGCTGATCTTAAATCATATTCTAATGTTGTCTTACTTTCCATTTTAACACCAAAATCCAATCAAAACATGCCCTTTAGGCACCAGCGGCTAGGACAGAGATTTAAAAAATATGAATTGTATCCTCATGAACATTAGTTTTAACACTGTCGTTTCGCAGGGGAACCGGCTCTGATCGGTGCCCAAACCTGGAAGTCTTGAAACAGTCATTATGAAGCAATTTAAATGCAAATCTGGCCAATGGCTCGTCCCCAAATGTGCCTCATTGGATGAGACACCTGATAGAGAGCGACCAACGTTAATGTCATCCTCTGAGTGGAATCATGTTCGGAGATATTGAAATCAAGATTGAAAAGAGTTGATAGATTATCTCTGTGACCTTAATGGCTTCTTATCGTTGATGGACTGAAAGCCTCCAACCTACTCAACACCATCCAAACCTTGAGCATTTGGTTTCTTCAAGAGCTATCTGGTCAACTGCTGAGCTGTCATGCCTCACTAACTACATGTGTCATTTGAAAACAGGATCACTGTCTCAATTACTGTGTACTGTAGTTCTCTGGTATTGTGCAATGGCTCATTAAACAGGTTGTCCTCTTCTGAAATGAGAAAAGCAGTCTCTGGGAAATTTGCATTGATGTTCACAAGTAGGCCTGTCGCAATAATCAATATATCGACTTATCGCGCAATATATGTACATGACCTCAATAATTTTTGGTGACGCAATATATCGCCCATTATATTTACTTAAAAATGTATGCCACCATGTTTTTTTTGCATTCCACTCTCGCCTGTGTCTTTTGCAGCTTCTCGTTCATAACGTGGTGTAGTCATGAGGTGCTAGTTCAAATTTAAAAAATGCTTCTACAAACAAAGTTTCATCTGCAGATATGGTCTTGTTTAGGGATCTGTGCCTTTGTGCATACGGACATCTGACTGCTATGTAGGGATTGTGTTTTTCAGCAATACAGTGCACCCTTAATTTACAGAGAAAAGAAGGTCAGGGGAAAATCTGTAGATGGAAAAATCTCCATACAAGTTCTTTGTGCATTTTTCTTATTTATTTAATATTGTCCAGTTATTTGGAAAAATAAGGCACATGTAATGTAAAAGTACATGTGATGAAGATGTTCTCTTTCAAGCATACGTTTTGGTGTCTCACTATGGGATATGCCCCTTCCGCGTATTCCTCAGAAGCAGTTGGCCCCAGTTGACTGGCAGACATGACATTGTGTCTGGGAGTGGCTCCTTCCTCTTGGTATAAAAGGAGCGACAAAACGTCATTACAACATTCAAAAACCTCTTCTCACTTCACACCAGAAGCCTATTAGTCGAATTGTTGGCAACCACACAGCTTTCGCCTGACTCCTACAATCAGCACTCCAGCTTATTATAGGATTACTCAGAATGGCTGTAGCAATGCAGACTACCTTGGCTAGTGAGGGAGACTCTTCACGGCGCTGCTCGTGCGGGAATAAAATCTCATGCAAAGACACACACCAGGTCTACTCTGCATGTCTTGGGTTGAAACATGCCCAACTGGTGATTGAAAGTCCCGGCACATGTGAGCACTGTGTACGTTTCACAATGAAGAGCCTTCGTCGCAGGCAAGCACGCCAAGCTAGCCTGTTGGGCCAGGATCCCCTCATGTCTGCTGGCCACGCTCCTGCTGTCACTCCACAGGAATACATTCCTGTAGAGCTGCCCACTATGGCGACTCTAATCGTGGGGTGAACAGCTTGATGCCTGCGCCCCTCTGACCAACGTGCTCTGCGCGGACAAGGAAGAGGAGGACGTGCTCGATTTTGAGGAAGAGGGGCAAACAGACTTCCTTCTCTCTGAGGAAGATTTCAAGGATTCCCCTTTACTGCTCAACCGGATCTGCTCTCGATCTTGAGGGAATGGAGAAGAGGGGCCTTCTCCGTATGCCTCCTATGGAGCCATTAGTCACTGCGCATCTACACACAAAGCACACACCAGACTGCAAACCCAAAGTTGCCATTCAAAGCAGACTGATTCTAGTCGAGTATGACAGAACGCGCTTATAAAGTAGTTGCTTATGGGGGCAGTCGTGGTCCTAATGGTTTGAGAGTCGGACTTGTAACCCAAAGGTCACGGGTTTGAGTCTCGGTACCAGCAGGGATTGAAGGTAGGGGGAGTGAATGTACAGCACTCTCTTCCACCCTCAATACCACAACTGAGGTGAGACCCTTGGGCAAGGCACCAAACCCTGTGTATTCACCTTTCCTTTCCTTTCCTTTCTCAATAAGGGCTTTGAACGTGATGTCCGAATTCGTTCACTTCATTTTGTTTCTGATATAGCGCACTCAACTGCCATGCACTATATAGGGATTAGTGAATGAGTGAACGAGTGAGAGCGATTTCGGACACAGCTAGTGGAACGCTGTACACGGCTGCCTCTGACAGCTTAGACTGCTGACTTGTTGCCTCACTGCCTTATCGGGCATTGACTTTGCTGGCAGCGTTTGAGCATGAAGACATGTCACGAACCTGATTTCAGACAGTCTTCTGAGGCAGCGTTATGGTTTAATGATCTACAGCAAAACAGAGTGAGCTTTGGTGAAAACACTGAATTACTATAATAGTTATTTCTTGCAAGAAATAACATCGAAAGTGGAAAAAGTTGACAAATAAAAAAACGAAAATATTTACACACAAACTGACCGCCAACCGTAACTTTCAGATGCCATCTTTATTTTTTAGCTCAGCTGTAACAAAATGGAACGCACAGGATTGTGGGATATCAAAGGCAGCGAAGGATACATCTATGCTGCTTTCAAAAATCAAACAGTTAAAGGTATCTCAGGAGACAGGAAGTGAAGCTAGCATTGGATTCTGATATGTTGACCTTGGAATGCACCCTCTGAAGGCAGCATTTTTCAGTTTTCAGACACAGCCCACGTGTAAAGCACTCCGCCCCTTTCGGCGGATTTTCGCTCACCAAACTTAAATACTCCAATGGTCTTTCTGGTGGTACTTATTATAAGTCAGTGTAACATCAGAATGATTTTAAAAGTGATATTTTAAGGTAAAAAATAAATAAAAATTACAGTTGCTTTAATGAATCACTGAGATGGTCCTAACTGCAGAACACAAGATCCAGGGCGCGTGGTTGGACCCAGATCCAACTCCTCCCACCTTCCATATGCCTAAACCTACCCGTCCCCACCCCCTGATCCCTAAACCCACCCATCTCCACCCCTAAACCTACCCATTTCCACCCCTAAACATACCAATCTCCACCCCCTAGATGTGGATCCAACCACGCCCCCTGGATCTTGTGTTCTGCAGTGAGGGGCTACTGGAATCACTCATAAAGACAGTTACCTATCGTCTCCTACTTGTGTACGATATACGCTGCAGAAAGAGTCACTCAGAATTGGCCCAAACTATTAAAACCAAGTGGTCCTCAGGATAGGGTGACCAGACGTCCCATTTTTCCTGGGAAAGTCCCGTATTTCAGCTCTATTTTTAGTGTCCCAACTTATTTTGAAAAAATTGTTTTGTTTGTTGTAGTTTTGTCCCGTATTTCAAAATTTCTTTAGGACTGGGTGATCAGAGCAAGTAGTAGAAGTGTTCTGTCACGCGAGAACAGCCTTATCAAAGGTAACTAAGCTTGTCTTAGAACAAAATTACCATCCAATCACAATTCGTTATCGATTAACATGCAGTAAGTGAAGGCGGGATAGATAGGCGGAATCACGCTGAATGACACACAACAGAAGCGCTCTCTCAGCCGCACGCCCGCGCGATCCCAGTTCTGCGATCAGTTCTCCTTGCGCCTTCAGATCAAATACACACACAGTTGTCAAAATGTCCATCGTGTGGAGTATCTCCATAGACTATATAAAAACATGGACGTAGTGTCCGTGACGTCACACGTAGTTTTCTGAAGAGCAGTTTTTGAAGCTCAAAGTGGGCGGAGCAGGCCGTCGCCTTCTTGGAAGCGCGTCACTCCCGGATAATCAAAAATGGGCAAAAAGGCGGGAGCTGGTTGCTGAAGCCACGCCCACCTAGCCCGACGGCAGTGTCAGAAGCAGCAATCCACCTGTCACTCAAGTGACCACGCCCTTAATTATGCAGAACTTTAAGGCTTAATA